GGCACTGCTGAGGACATTGGAGGATCACAGACTAAACAAGAGGCTGCAATGTGATGCAGCTGCAAAAAAGGCAAATGTAATTTGTGTTGCATTACCAGAAGTCCTGTAGGCAAGACAGGGGAGACAGTATCATAAAGACATAAGAACATAAAAAGTGTTATACTGGGTTAGACCCACGGTCCATGCAGCCCAGTATCCTGTCCCCACCAGTAGCAGACATTTTAGAGGCTGAGTACATGTACAGAACATGCCCAGTGTACTCCATCAGGCCATACCCTCCCCAACATCCACCATAAAAATAACACCACTCCACTTGATGATGGTTAGACCCCAGCTGGAAAATTATGCCTCGTTTTCACCCTATATATTAAGGATGTAGAGAAGGTACTTTTAGTTTGGAGAGAGACGTGGAGGTAGGATAGCAGCTTTCAAATATTTCAAAGGCTGCCATGAAAATGATGGGGAAACACTGTCCTTCCTTGCCACAGTGGGCAGGACATTTTAAAGTTCATAAATTGTCTGGAGCTTAGTTCAAGTTTAACGAAATATTAAGTCTGATCTTATGCAAAGCCCATATAACTATGTCTGTCCTCCAGGTCACAGAGCCAAAGTAAAAGGGTCTTCTATGGGGAACTGAGAGCCTTGAAAAAAGTTAAATTTGGAGACAGGAATCTCTGGATCACCAAAAGATACAACACTGCCTCAAGTCAGGCACTAGCCTGGAGTAGGTCTACAACCCTTTAACGAGTTACTGTATTGTTATTACGAGACCTGTGAAGTGTGAGGGAAAGGAGTCTGCAGCAATAGGTCTCAAGCTATGGTCCATGAACCACCACTGGTCAGAAGACGTGGGTGGCTGGACAGGTTTGATTCTACCTATCCGACTGCTGCATCACATGGAGAACAGCTCAGGTGCATGAAACACTCTCCTCACATTAGCTTTGCACCATTTCAGATGTTGCCATAGGGATGTCATGAGATTGGAGAGGACCACGTCTGCATGAGCTGCACTATTATGACTGGAAAGAGGCCTAATCTGTGTGACCTTGAATGGAGAAAGTTGTGCTGATGAGATGCATTTTGCTACCACTTGGGTTACACTGAAAAAGTTTGGGATCCATTACCCTAAAATAGTCACTAGTTGCCAGCAGACTCTTGAAAGCTATTAGAATATTAAAAGGATATGAATTCAAGTTAGATGGATATAATAAGAGTCGTTCTAAAGGCATGATCAGCATCAACATGGTTTCTACATACACATCAGGGGCCTGCTAAACTGGGAAATCAAAGATCACCCATTTGCACCGAGACAGATAGGATACTGAGCTCATTAGCTTGATCATCACATCTTCATCCCATTTTAAAATTCATACCATCAAGAGTGTCATTTCTACCACAGCCGTTTTACTTTATTTACTACGGCTCCTCTTCATCAATTTTTAATTTCTAGTTCCATTAATCAACTGCATCAAAGTGCAAAGAGTGATGACGATCTTTAGGTAAAAAACAAGGTCTTGTGCACTGGTTAACAGTAATTACTTATTTTGACACCACCACTCTTATCGGAGAGCAATAACTTCCATTCCTACCTCTATTCTCGCAACAGCAAACAACAGCTGGTCTAGTTTTGTGGGTGCAAATTCTTTTGCAAGTAATATAAATTAAGAGGCTTCACTGACCACCTTTGTGCCTGCCATTGTAACAGCAAACACAGTACTGCTGGGACAGCCTTGCCAACACCTGCAAAGATTGCACTTGTTTATGTGGGGGCACAGAGTCAAAGCAAAGGTGAGGGGCATTAAAAAAAAGGGGGGAGTTCTCTGCCTTAATGAGCCTTGTTAGTGCAAGGGGCTGGTTGCAAATCATTTCACCTTTTTCCCAAAGCAACAGCAAACTGGAAGGATCAGTGATGGTACAAAAATAACAAACTGATAGGTAAGGGACGTGCCTCTGAAGGAGGGCAAAGACTGGAAGCATTGCTTATCATTCTGGCTTCATAGATTCATAGATTCATAGATTAAGGGTCGGAAGGGACCTAGTAGATCTTCTAGCCCGACCCCCCGCCAGGGCGGGAGAACAACAAAAACCCCAAAAAGAGAAATGGGACTCAAACGAGTCCAGCTAGGTGGGCATCCAGCCTCTTCTTAAAGACCCCCAGGGTAGGGGCCAGCACCACTTCCCTTGGAAGTTGGTTCCAGCTCCTAGCCGCCCTAAC